ACGGAGAGACATGGAAAGCTGAAACGTGGCATGGACGTGCCTACCGAAACGATGCGTTCAGGAAAAATGGAACAATTTAGATCCATGCCCTGGGGGCCTATTTTTGGGGGCCAACGTTTTCAAGTGTTTTTTTGTCCTGGTGTATTGAGCTAGTGTGTGAAGATGAAACTTGGTACATAATTATACCTACCGTGATGCTGCGTGCAAAAAAAATTCAGACTTTGGAATGAAATGCCCTGGGGCCATGAATTTCAAAGGGAGATGTTTTCACATAATTTATTTTACATTAGTTCAACCGATGGATATGGAAAGCTGGAACTTAGTATGAAAGTGACTTCCAAGATAAGGAGTTAAGGAAACATGTTAAGTCTTGAAACATCCCCGGGGGGGAAAATTTCTCGAGGGGCGATGTTAAAAAAAAAAAAAGAAATTGTCGTGGCGAATTGGACAGAAATGGAAAGGTACACATATAAGTGACGTGATATTATTGAGTTGAGGGAGTATTCAGCTATCATGGTGCATCCCCTCCGGGCATTGCTTTTCCAAACATGATTTTTCACCAACGAAAAGGGCAAACGTATAATATTGAAACTTTGTGGGCATGTAGTTCACTAAGGTTTGATTTCGTTAAAAATGGTACTTTCCGGTTAAAACGCCAGAGGGCACACATTTTGCAAATTTTTCTGAATTTTCTGATCCAGCAAAACGGAGGGTGCTACAAAGGCTATGAGGCTGAAACTGGAATACGTGACATATGGGGACTTTCGTCCCATATGTCACGTATTCCAATGGGACGTACTTTAAATACGTGTCTGCCATTTCGCAGAAAATAAATGAAATAATCGTTATCCAAGGTAATGGAGTGCCGAAGGTACGACCACAAACTCGCTAGTATATATATACAGAGAGAGAGGGGGAGAGAGAGAAGGTGCATCTGCACGATTCAAGGCCATTCCAACCCCCAAGCCCCCCTCTCGACTCGGCTATAGTCGCATTTCCGTTTTACAAATTCCTTTCATGCGACCCAGCACCGTTGGAAAGAAAATGATATGAATCATAATACCATGTTTGTATTGTTGGATGATGGTGAGACTCAAAGGTAAAATTCCGGTTAACCCAGGGAAAATTTCCCCCTCGCACCTTCGCGCTCGTCTGTTATCCTTGTGAGACGCGTTGGAAATAATCTGTTCTCAATATCGCTCGGTAGACGTCTTGACTGCAAGTCAGTCTCGGTTAGTGTTCGGCAGTTCGGCTCTTTCTCGAAAATGTTCTTTGTGTTGTGATGTGACTTGGTTCCTCTGACGTTACGCTAAGCTTATCTCAGTGTGAACTTTCGACTATTCCACTCGGAATAGTCTAGTGTAAGAGTGCATTCAGAATTTTGAGACTCATGTTCAGACCGACAAGTCGTGAGCTTAGAAATAAATGTTGCGACTATTTCAAGACGTGATTCTCTTGCGTAAGTGTTTTTTTTTTCGACAAAAAAATCTGGTAGGTTTCACTCACGTCCTAGAACATGGGTCAAGTGAAAAAAAATTGTTTAATTAAAATTTGTAAGCAGTAGGGCCGAAAATGTTATTGTTGCTCATTAGCTACAAACAGCATTTTCGGCTTTCTAACCCATATTGCATTGATGCTAGAGAGCTCAGTCGGTCCGTCAACATTCGTACATACCTCAACATAAAAGAAAATGTAAGAATACGGACGAGCCTGAGCCCTGGATTGATAAGAAAATTAAACATCAGATGTCAAAAACATCAATCTGCCATACGACGAAGCTAGATTGGATTTAATTTGATTGCCACCAGGAGTGTATAGCACCTAGCGACCGCATAGTTGCTAGGTATAAGGACCGGACTATTGCACATCTGCTACGAACAGATTTACTTCAGGAGCTCACTACCTGCGCATTCTAAAAATGTTTATTTCGTATGTAGCATATCTGCTACGTCATACATTAAAAGGTTAAAGTATTAGATATCACTTGATTAGATACCCCTTCCACCGCCCTTCCCCTTCTCCGGCGTGTGCCAAGGTCGCATCTCTGCTTCGCGTCACTCGGCTGGGTGATTGCTCCTGGTGACCAGAAAGGAGTCTTAGGCTGGGATTCATAGAATCCCCACATCCTCAAGCTCCCTTTCAAAGGTGTTCGTGCTAGTGGTCGCCTCGTCCAACTGGTTGGTCCGTTCTCGTGCGTCCATCTCTCCGGTCGCCTCCCTCATTTCTCTTGCGTTCCGTCCACTAAACCGATATGTTTCCCCATATAGAGGGATGGAAAGGTGAACCTCGAGACAGGGGAGAATCGACTCTCCCCAGTCTCGGCTGGTGATACATTCCAGTTGCGTGCGTCGAGGGTATTCTTTCCGTAACCAGGGAGAAGAAGAGTTTCGCATTAATATTTCCATCGTGGAGTCAAATTCTAAATGCTTTTGCAGAATTAATGACGATTCTAAAATGTCTTGCAAATATTCGGACAGTTTTTGAAGAAAGTTGGCATCGATATGGCTCATATAATTCTAATAATGGCCATAGGAAAGTTTCCTTCAACAAGGTTCAATGCAGTAAAGCCTCAGAGAGAAAAAAAGGCGTGATTCTGGCTTGCGAAATGCCTTCCACATTGGGAACGTGGAACGTCATTTTGCAAGTTTGCCTCAACGGAAAAATTGCCAAGAGCGGACTGAGTGGAAGGCAACATTTTAGAAACGAAGGGCCTGTGACGCGAAGCCGCTCTGGTACCACAGGTGACCGGCGATGCTCTTCCACGTGTACACCCTTCTGACGCGGTTTCTGCTCGAAATGATGGAAGAGACGAGGCACATGCTCGCCTACCGCCTCTTGGAAGGGGAGATTCGGTCGATGAACGACGTGGTCGATCCCGTGGAGCCCGAGATGGGGGTGATGGAGGACGTGACTTCGGGAGTTTACGAGATCGTCGCAGGAATCCCGGATGGTGAGCATGTCGTTATTATGTTCCATTAACTCATTCTCCTTTGCATTCCTTACAGTTCCCAATTCTTACTTCCTGAACCAGCTTAAAAATTGTTCACTACCGTATCTGCACTCGGAGAAATCTAATAATCAAAGCAATACCATTCGGTCAATTCTCGCATTTCGACTTATTCTTTTCAGGAGGAAAAGGAATCAACATGGAATTCCGATTCATATCAGTCTCTTCCCGACCGTGTCGGGTTGCCTGAAAACAAAACCGAAATGAGTCGATAGCCGAGTCGAGAGGGGGGGGGGGGATAGAGTGGCCTTGCATCGTCGAGACGCATCTCAACCTCAGTCTTCCACTTCCTCATGTTGCAAAAGGGCCCTTCAAAAATCCTCGGAGCAAAGCATTGGCTGTTGAGATTCACGCGCTAGCGCGTGAGAGTGCATGCTCTTTTCGACCCGTCACCTTCCCTCCGCCTCGTGCGAGTAGCTCTTGCGTCTCAAAGGGATTCTAATGTGATCGCTTTCTCCATTTTTCGAGTCCAGTTTCTATTGTGCTTGTATTTAGTTTCGTGTATTGGTGGTATAATACGTATCGCCAGTAGACTGAGCTTTCAAGCTTGAAAGCCTATGTTATTCCCTCAATAGGTTCATCTGATGTTAGAGTATTCGTAGCCCATCGGCTTGAATTAGTAGGTGCTTCCGCGCCTGCTCTCAATCTTAATCCTCGCCTCCCCTAAGATATCCGCTTCCCATTTTTCTCTTTGAGTGTTTAAGGGGAAATTTTTCCATCTTTTCCATGGCCCTTGCACAGTCACCCGAAGCAAAAAAAAGTTTCTTCCCTTGGGAGTGTGAATAAATAAGTGAATAAAAAAAAACAGATTTCAGCACAAGCATTATTTTCGCCCCTAAACTGCCGCTATTAGGGGATTTCAGATATGATACAGTTAAGGGATTCCCCCCCCCCCTTCCTTGAGTAGCGGAGAACGGGTATGGCGTGGAGAACGAAGCCGAAATAGGTCTCATGCAGTACACATGTACATAGAATCAAATTGATGCCTTTTTTCCTACAAAATTTGATTCCTTGAGTATGCTGTGCGTACTGAAGACCCTGGAATGTATCCATGTGTTTAGCAATCATGTGAATCATGTCATGATAACTTACAGGCCTACAGAGCGACTCCATTAAAATGTTAACGCTGAATCACTGATATGTAAAGAGAGTGGACTAGAATAGAAGACACTTTAAATAATCTCGTGTGCAGTTCTTTCTTCTACATACCTACTACATTCAACTACATGCATCCAATATGAAATCATTTTAAAACGAGATGTTTCTCCCAGGGAAGCACCAAAACTGGAATGTGTCGTGTAACTACCATGGAAATTAATAGGAACTGACTCGAGATGTTACCGTCCCTATGGCTGCTACGCGATCGGTCCTCCGTGGAGCTCCCCGACGAGACGCCCCGCGCTGTTCCCTCAGAAACCAGGCGAGATCCGAACCTCCTTTTGCCTCTACACGCGGAGGAGACCTCGAGTCTGCAAGGTTGGACTAAGGTGCATCTGATCACCTTCGGAGGGCTTTTACTGATCATGTTGTGCCTCGTGACAGAGACTGAGACCGGGGGAGAGAATGGCGCTTTGGAGGTCGGGTTTCGACGGGGGAAGGCCATTGAAGATCATCGTTCATGGGTTTTTGGGGCATGGAAATGAAAAGTGGCTCTTGGTAACTTTCCCAAACCATTGTTCTCTGTTTTTTATCTTGCTCGTTATTCGAGATTGATCACCAAATGAATATTTTTGTGAGACTCTCTTTGGAACTCAATGACCTGAGGCGTACAAAACCTTTCCCGATTACTCTACGATCTGCAGGACATGAGGGATGCGTTCCTGGCCCACGAAGACGTTAACGTGATGATCTTGAGTTGGTTCAAGGGGGCGGGCCCTCCCTACAGCCAGGCCATGGCCAACATCCGACTGATCGGAGACATCGCAGGACAGCTTCTCCACTTCCTCGGGGTCGGTACCTGTGGGAAACCGCTTTTGTCGTGGGGTCATTATGAGAGTCGGCTTCCTTTTTCTCGCAGAAGGAGACTGGTTTTAAGATGGAAGACGTCCACATCGTTGGGTTTAGTCTGGGTGCGCACCTCGCCTCGTATATCGGCACTTCCGTGAAAGTAATTTCGTTTCCACACGGCAGCGAAATCCTGGAATTTCGTGATGTACATGTCTGTTCATCCTCCCTCGGAATAGAGAATGGGGGGGAAGGTGGGAAGGATCACGGGGTTGGACCCGGCTGGGGTAGACTTCGAAGGAGAGGATCCGGAGGTGAGGCTGGATCCGGGGGATGCGGAGTTCGTGGATGTCATCCACACCGATGGAGGCCCGTACCGCTATTCAAATGGAGGTGTCTTTCTTTTTTCCTGATGATCTTCAAAATACTGCAAGATCATGGCTACGATAATAAGAATCAAGCTTCTAAAAAAGGAAATATACATTCGTTGCCCTCCATGTGGCGGAAATGCATATATTCGAACAATGATTAATTTGAGGGCTAATGGAGGTGTGATATTTATATGTACCGATTTTTGTAACGACGAAAATGACAGTTTGGATTTTATTAGAGGTTTACGCAAACATTACGGACCCCCTCCAACACACTCAGAAAAGAGTGGGCGAGTTCCGAGAATGGGAACGAACCTGGCGTTAGCGATTTAACTCCCTAAAAGCGAGGAAATACAATCAATAACTACCCCTTCATATGAACAGGATCCATAACTTTTTTAAGAGCGCGAAACGAAGGAGGGAGAGTACTTTTCAAACTAGCGGGAAAAGTTATTGATTATTCTCAGGAAAGGGAGAGGCGAGCTTTCCTTATTTTTAAGGAGTGAAATCGGACAAATCCAGTTTCGCTCCCTTTCTCGGAGATCGTTCGCTCTTTCCTAAGAGTGTATGTAGATTTGATGCAGTGTTGATTGAAAGGGCAACCGCATTGAGGGCTCCTCGCGGCTTGCATTCCTTGGACCCATTCGGTCATCGTTGACGACAGAAGAAATCATTATGAACCGTAAATAATTGTTTAGTTGTGAAAAGAGCAGCCTACCAGAGGTCGCTCGTATCCCATATTAATTGCCGTCATTACCTTTTTTATATCGATCATGAAGCTTGCTTTCAACCACAAAGTTTACCCCCAACAAATTCCATACCGAATTGAGGGATTTCTGACAGGTTTGGGGCAAGGGCTGATGGAACCGCTGGGACACTTGGACTTCTACCCTAATTCTGGCCTGGAAATGCCCGGCTGCAACCACGCCTCTATAAACGACGTTGTCGTCCAGCAAAACATCTCAATCAGCCGAGGTCGGTACATTCTACCACCGAAATCCTCATTCAATTCTCGCTTTCGCATATTTTATTTTGGATTCAATGTTTCGCCCTTAATATGTTATTTACAGATTTTATGTGTTTTTTTTTTGGTAATCTGCAGCTGTGATGTACGTGACGGCTTGTAATCACCTTCGTTCCATCGATTACTTCCTGGAATCGATGAAGAGCGACTGTCAGTTCCTCGCCTTCAGCTGCGCCGACTGGGACGAGTTCAAGTAAGCACTTTTTTTTCGCCTACAGAAAGACAAAGTTGCTCTTCGAGAAAGTTTTCCCTTGTGATAGGCGGGGGAATTGCTTCGATTGCGGAGAAAATATGGAAAATTGTCGCAGAATGGGCTATCACGCCGGGGAACATAAGCACGAAGGCGAACCGATGAAGCTCTACCTCTCCACCGCCGAGGCATCTCCTTTCTGCAGTGAGTCAGCAATAAAATCCATTGTTTCTTGTTATCGCGGATAAATGAAGACTCTCTGTCTGAAACCAGGGGTGATGCACAGTGTGCGGCTGGAGTTCTCGCAGATCCACGCAGACGGGGATATCCAAGCCAGTCTCCATCTGTCGTCCGGCAACGGATCCGAATCTAAATCCATGTTAGTGCAAATCTCATTCAAACGAGATCTCTTTGGCAGATTATATGATTGTTATGGACATTGAAAGGCGTCCTTTTTGACGAGGGCGCTAATAGACAAAGGTGGATGAAGGTCGGTTCACACCAGTCCATGCCAAATATTATGGTCATTTCGGGTTTCTTACACCCACTCACAGGATCAAGACAAAAATGAGGATAGTTTTCGTTGAGTACATGAATTTGATATGACTTGCACGTGGCGTATTTTTCCTTTTGAAAAATGCCGCCACGGATGTGGTTTGCTTTTTTTTTACAGTTCCCTGAAACAGCCATTGCACCTTCCTTGTTGTTCTGCGCGATCACCATGCGTCAACTTTCGTATTATTTTCAACTATGTGCGGAAAGATGAGAACGGGATCGCAATCCCTTACGAAAATGTATTATAGGATTCCTATAGGAACCTAAAGGAATCTTATAGGATCCTATATCCCCCATAGGGTTCAGTTTGGGACCTATAGAACCCTTAGAGTCCCCTATTGAACCTATAGAGTTCCCTATGAGAACCAATAGGGTTCCCTATAGGGCCTATACGGAACCCTATAGGCCTATAGGGTTCCGTTTGA